TCTTTACCAGTCACGTGCCCACTTAAAGAGGCACATGACTTCTTAAAACTTGGGTCCACCTGTTTTAAAACAACCGGCCCAGTCAGAAGAAGAGGCTCTTTATTTTCAGATGGGCTAGGGCCCTAATCCCCAATCTCTTTAGCAGTCATGTGTCTACTTGAAATTTCATGTGACTGGTCTTGGTTCACTGGACCAGAATAAACCAGCTCACAAGACCGGTTTGAAACCTGAGCCCTTGCCGACCTATGCTCAGTTTCTTTTGAAATTTGAACTTCTGTCTCATATCTGATTCCGTTTGTCTGAACATAGGATCTGCCATCCCTCTGCCCACCCTGCCATGCTGACTTTCCCCAAGTCTTTATGTTTTCCTCTTTTTCCTTTTCTTCTTGATTTCCTCAGATGACTTAGCCCCTTTTGTAGTTATTGTACTGCCTTGCAACCCACGTAGCCAGGCCTGTTCTGTCCCTTCATCTTCCTCCCTTCGTCCCTCCCTCCGTAGCTGGGCTTCAACGGAGGTAACAAGCCAGACAGGGCTACACCATCTAAAACAACCTCTAACTTCCTTGAGATATCACTGGATTTAACTCCGCCTAGCTTCAATGCGACTGAATGAAGATCCAGATCAAAGACACCATCTAGTCTTGCACCACAGATTATAGCAATGGACTGTAATACCTCCTTCCAGAGATTGAAAGGTAACCCAAGCAGTCTGACTAATACATTTTCCTCAATCTCAAAACTTTTAGTATTTGAGAGAGGACACCATGTCGAGACTGTGGCAGCACCAACTTCTGATTGAATATTTAAAGTTGAAATCTCTACTTCAACTTCACCCAGATCTATCAGAGCTTTACAAGATTCATAAGGTGTAATTACCATCGGTTTTGACAGGTTTAATTCTCTGAGTATCGACTGCGCAATACCCCTCCAATCCTTTGGTGGCCTTGAAGTTTCCACCATAAATTTCTTCTCCCAGTCCTCCTTTCCTGCTGTTGCTACCAGTTTACAATTTCTTTTTCCTTTTTCTACAATCATCCATTTCCTCTCAATAGATTCTTCTTCTCTCTTTTGTTTACCCACTTTCTCTTCCTTTGCCACCACCACTACTTGTTCTGATTTCAGCTGTTGAGTAAAATCACTCAGTACCTCTGCCACTGCCTTCCATCCAATTCCCCTTCTACCTTCTGGGAAGCAAACTAACTGCTTCTTTCTTCCTCCAAAGAATTCTTGCAGAGTTATATAGTGTCCTTTTGCATTCTTTTTACATTCCAGCTCATATCTTTTTCTTCCATCTAAGTTGAACTCCATAAAGCTCACTTGTTTACCTTTAGAACTTGCTTCTGAAAAAAACTTCTTCATCCATTCGATCACTTCCAAACCTTCCAACAGTATTGTAGCTTTCTTTGCCTCCCTAATCTTCAAGCTCTGCAAGCTTCTGATTTTCAACTCTTCAAGGATGAGGTCTTTTGCTTCAATCTTCATTGCTTTCCTCCATCTTGTAAGGAAAGCCCAAAGACGTTTTATGGATTACTTTCTAAGGGAAGCCCAAAGACGTTTTATCTGGCAAACTAGCATCCCAACCATTGTCCATCATCTCATGATTGCTATATATTATTTTGTACCAAACCTGTCTGACTCCAAAGGCATTTCTGCATAGTTATTTGCCAATTAGAGCTGTAATTTTTAAGCACCAGGTTCCCGAAACCCAGGCACTCTTGATTCCTATTTTGTACCAACTATTCTTTGTATGTTTCTCTGTTGATTTATTGGTAAAATCCCTTCAATCATATTACTAATTAAAAAACCAACGTAGTTCAGGTTCCATTATTTGCCGAGTTATGAAAAGTTTCACAATATGTGAGTTCAGTCTTGAGCTTAGAATGGAGGTATCAAGTGTTGGAGTTCTGGTTCAAGTAGACCCTAGGAAATATAAGCATGTCAGATATGTCATTTGGAAATTATTGATTCTCTTTTATTGAGGGGAGGGAGTGATCAATGATCACGATATGTGGGTTAAGCCATGAGCTTGGAATCACGATTTCAAATGGAGTTCCAATTCAAGGAGGTGTAGGAAATCTAAGCATGCCAGAAAAGTCATTTAAAAAGTGTTGGTTCTGTTTTTTGGAGGGGGGTTAAAATGGGAAAGCAGAAATGCATTGCATCATAAAAAACAGCAAAAACCTTGACAATATCCACTTGTACTTTCTTTGCTTCTCAATGACATAATAACATGAATTTAAATATTCCTTTTTAAGGAACTGTAGATTTGCATAGCTTAAGAAAAAAATCTTTTATATTGATCAGAAAAAAAAGGGGGAAATTCTTTGTGTCTCCTTTAGTGGTATAAGTTAGATGATGCACTTTAGCATTACTTGGTAGAATTCCTTAACAAAAATGCACATATTACAGAACTTCTGTACACTACCAAGTGATATATACTAATTGTGTATCTTAATAAATGCAGAAAATATCTATAGCTATTCAGGTCCATTTAGTAAGTTTTCTTCCCCAAATGCTCCAGGAATTTCTTTGTGGCAGCTTAATACTCTTTAAAGGTCCTGTAGTTTTACTTGTGACTTCTGTGGCTCTTTATAACAACAGTCTATGGAAAGAAACCTGGATCCTAGGGTAGTTGATTGCCTGCCAACACTGGGAAATTCCTTATTTGGTTGGCAGGAATTGTATAGACGACAGGTCTCTTCCTTTCAATTGAAACATGGTATTTAGAAACAGTGTATCTAAAACTGAAAAAAGTAAGACCTTGAAACAGTATATTTAAAACTAAATTTGTATTCTTTTCTTTTCTTCTTTTTTTTTTTTTTNGGGGGGTGGGGTTGTTATGCTTTGTTTTTTGGATAGTTGGTTTACCATATGTTTAGTTTACTAGGTTTTACCAAACACATCTTGACTGACCTACTCTGGAAACGTATTTGTTAACAGGAACTTGGGCTTAGCCCTTCTGTCCCTGTCCATGCCGTTCTTCATGATTGGATAAGGCATACTGATGGGAAGCTGAGTTTCCTTGGGTTTGTCAAATTGTTGCATGGTGTGTCCAGCCGGACTCTTGCAAAAGCTCAATAACCGAATAAAGAAAACCTTGAGTATGGATACTCCAGGAGGTACCAAGTCTCCTATGTATTGGCATAGAAACCAGGGAAGTCGTGTTACTAGTTGCTTTTGCAGGCCTTGGTTGAACAGGTTTGTTGTACTGGAGCTGGTTTAACGCTGCAGTCCACTTGACATAGCATCAGGCGTGTGGGCGGAGCTCGTACCCACCTGGATTTATCGGTGGAAAATGAGGGAGATGGAGCTATCCAAAATATGCAGTTGTCAATCTCCTTCCGTTTCAGAGCCACAAAAGCTGTCTGTCATTGTTGCTCTCTGTAAAGTCTTGGTACGGTGATTTGGACGAGAATGTTTTTAACTGTTTATTGTTGCTATATGTTGTGGCCTATCGGAGTACCTTGACATGACTGCGATGGCATTGTATTGTTAATTGTGTTCTCTTTTCACTATTCGACAGACCTGCCTGAAATTGTTCATTGCTTTCAAGTGAAATGAAGAATCCTTCTCTCCCCCCCCCCTCTCTCTCTCTTTCTCTCTCGCTAATTTTTATCATTAGCTGAAGACTATTTGTTTGAGTTAAAAAGATTTCTCCCATTCATTACAAAATCGAATCATTTTTTAACAGTCAAAAAGCAATGATTGTATTCTTTGAAAAGCAATCCATTTATTTAAGTGAGGTCTGCCATATTTGTGGTTTAGTTTGAAAATATTTTCAACCAGTTGTCTCAAATAAACTAGGTATTCATAGTAGTCTAATTACCTGATGCTAAAAAAACTAGCCATCCTGAATCCTGATTTCTGAAGGACAATTTCGGCTTAATATTAAAATGATCATTATGCTCTATCTTTATTTACCCATCAGGCATGGTTTGTTTGCAGTGCAATTTCATTTGCACTGGTGGAAGGAAAAGTATGGGAATGCAAATTTGAGTGCAAATTTTGATTTATTTTAGTTTCGGCGTTTTACCTTATTTTGTTTGTTCTCAGTGTAGATGAAGTCAAGGTCCTTTCCCTACTTTTTTTCCTTCAAACCAAACATAGCCTAAGTGTTTGACTATTTTGAAATCTTTTTTAGTACTTGATGTGACATTTACGTTATTAAGTTATATAATAAAGAGTATGATTGGGGCTTTGATTGTCTAGTCCACCTTAGAATTCATAGTTGGATTGTACGGTTAAGGTAAGCAGGAGATGTTTACAAGGGGAGCTGGGAAAAAATACATTTGGAAAATTATTTTGGGGTTGTTGCCGATAAGGGCAACTTTTGGTCGCTAATATCAATAAAAACAAATTTTGTAATATAATCTCTAGAATAGGTTTCCTTTTTGAAAAAAATATCAAATGAGGGCAAAAATACTGTTCCCCTCCTTCCTCCTTTGAACCACAAACAACTATAGAAAACCTTTCCCACCTACAATCTCCCCCACCTCTCTTCTTCTTCTTCTTTGCAGAGGGATCTCACTGTTCTGCTCTGAGTCTGAAACAACTCAGATGTAAAGAAGAAGAAGAAGGAGAGAGAGAGAGAGAGAGAAAGAGAGAGGGTATTAGCGGTTTCTACTTACCCTCTCGCTCGACATCTCTTTGAAAACTCAACCTTCGAATCCTGAGTTGAAGCTGAAAAGTATTTGCTCGTAGCATGTCTACACTCCCCATCAAAATCTCGAACTTAGTTATCATGCTTTCAAGCACGGAATTGACATTCCCCTCCTCCCCATTCACTGCCCTCCCTCCCCGCCTCAGAAGTTCAGACAGGGGTGGCGCCACCACGCTCTCCTATAGCTTCACTAGTTCCTCCTCTAGTTGCCGCTCGGAATTGACATTCCTGTAGCCTCAACATCCCTCCCCACCTCAAAAGTTCAGACAAGGGTGGTGCCACCATGCTCTCCTGTAGCCTCGACAGTTCCTCCTCCAGTTGCCACTCCTTTGCACTTGTCTCAGCCCTCAACCTTTCCATCCTCTCCTCTCTCTGCACTTGGTCTTGTGACAGGTCCCCAATGGAATTGGCAACAAGCTAGAACACCGGTCCGAGTTTAAATTCGCCAATCCAGAACAAGCCCGCTCTAAGGAACTGAACCAAGGGGGCAACAACACGAGGAACACATCCCCATGATCCGCTCTAGATTTCTCCTCCCAAGTACCGTTGGTATTGTGTCAGGACCTGCACGATGAGATCTGTAAGGTCCTGCTCGCATGAATCGTTTGAAGGAAGAAGAAGGTGAGTAGGATTTTTGCCCTGATTTGATATTTTTTTAAAAAAAGGTAACCTATTTTGGAGATTATATTAAAAATATTATTTTTATTGATATTAGGGGTCAAAAGGTGCCCTTATCAGCAAGAACCCCAATTATTTTCTCATGGAGTAGATGGTAAAAAGGCCATGATTGATTTTAACTATCTATACGCTAATTTACATTTCAAGAGTATCGAAATAAAGAAAAATCTAAAGCAAAAGGGGACCAAATTTTGTATTTTTATTTGCATTCTCTACATCTCTCTCTCTCTCTCTCTAGTAGAATGATGTCATGTCATGGTTGAGCTTTCTCCATTACCCCAATAGAGAACTCTTAACCCCTCTCATTTTAGCCTTCGCTCCCTCGTGAAGCCTCCTCATCACTTCTTTCTCCCTCTCTCGTAATGACACCTTATCATGCCTGGCCCACCCCTCTTTCCTCTATATTTATCCCTTTAGATATCCTTCCTAAAATCTCTCTCTACCAAAATCTTATCTAATCTAGCCAAGTGGCATCACTATCCCCCACTTTCTCCTAAATTATCTATAATTCCTATTTATCCTCTCCCCCACTTTTCATCTATACCTATTAAAAGAAAGTTTGAATTAAAAAGTTTAAGAATTATTTAAATATTATAGTAAAATTATGTAATAACTTTAAAATATTTATTAAAAACACAAAAAAATTATCATAGATTTAATAATATACATATCATTAATAATTTTATACTTTTATGAAACCCTTAATGAAATTATGTACTAACAATAATTTTAAAAATTATTCAAATAATAAAAATTTAAAATTAAAAAAAAATGTTACTTAAAATTTTCAATAACTAATTACTATAAACAACAAAATATTAAAAATAGCTAAATATTATATAACAAAATATTTAATATTATGTAATAACTATAAAATAAATAATTTAAATAATATATTTTTTAAATATTTTACATTTTATTTAAATAATTAAATAACTAAATATTGTAAATAAAAAAATATTTAACATAACTAAATTTTAAATAATTAAAATAACGAAATTATGTAATAAACTTAAAATTTTATTAAAAGTAGAAAATCGTTAAAATAGATTTCATAATATTTGAATTAATAATAATTTTATATTTTACAAAATTAATAACGAAATTATGTAATAATAGTACAACTTATAATTTTATGGATTATGAAATTCAATAAATAAGTAATATTGAAATAACTAAATAATGATACTATTTAAATAGATAAATAATATTGTAAGTAACTAATTCTCAATATTTTAAATATTAAAAAATAATAACTAAATCATATTTTAAATATTATTTAAAAACAAATAAAATATATTAAATAAAGAAATTATGTAGTAACCTTAAAATTTTTATCAAAAGCACAAAAATAATTATAATGGATTTAATAATAAGAATATAAAATATAAATAATTTAAAACTTTTTAAATATTATTGAAATAATGAAAAATAGATTAAATAATTTAGAAGTATTGAAGCTTTCAAATAATAAAAATAGGTAATAACTTTCAAAAATGTTTTAATAGATATTAAAAAATATAATAATTGTAATTATTAATGTACTAATAATACAAACATTATTTCACTTATATCAATTAATTATTGTAGAAAATAACTTTTAAAAATTTGATATTTATTAGGGGTTTTTGTCGTTTAGTCCACCCTTAGAAATCTTAGCTCAATCGTACAAGTGGAATGAATACAAACAGTATTTCACTTATATCAATTAATTATTATAGAAAATAACTTTCAAAAAATTGATATTTTCTCACTTATATGAGAATTTTCTCACTTTTCCATATTAAAATTTACATATATATGGTCGGGTCAGTTTGGTTTTTGTCGATTTACAAATGGCCAAACCGAAATTGACCCGACCTGGTTAGGTTGGGAAATTGCTGAACTAGAACAGAAATACTAGAAAACCAACCAACTTAAAAGTGTATATATAATATAACTAATTATTAATTATTTAAAAGGTTGAAATATAAAACAATTGTCTATTCTTATGTGCTTTTATTGTTTAGCTTTCGCTTAACAATGTCTAAGCATCATATGGGTCCCTGCTAGGTGCAACTTGAGTGGGTTGGGTCGGGTTAAGGATTAATCCAATCATAAGTCTCAAACATCAAGCTCAAGCTTGGTCCAACTTAGGCCCAACTCAACCTTAATTAAGCATTTTAGGCTTAGGAACGACAATTTCTACCCTACCCAATGGGTTATATTGGACCAAGTTTGAGCTTGATGTTTGAGACTTAGGATTGGATTAATCCTTAAGTATCCCACTAGGGATGCAAGTTGGGCAAGTTGAGCCGAGTTTATGGTCAACCTAGGCCTGGGCCTAAAATTTGGGCTTAAGGYCCGAGCCTGAGGTCAAACCCGATTTTTCCAATCTGAGCCTAGCCCGCCCTGTAATTTGATGCACTCGGGTTGGTCAATGAACCCACTCTAAAATTATACATATATAAATGCATTTATGCAAATATATATACATATATTTATGTATGTATGTAAATATATATGCAAAATATTTATACAAATATGTATGTATATATATGTAAATATGTACGCAATATTTACATATATACACATATATGTATAAATGTATATAATTGGGCTGGGTTCGGGCTACCTAAGGACTAGGCCCGAGCCCGACCCAAAACATAAAAAAAACCCGGCTTCTTGGGCCCGAGCCCAACACGAGGACCAAAAATCCAAGCCCAACCCGTGTAAAATTCCAGGTTGGGCCAGTTCGGGCTCGGGTTGGGCCCACCCAAGTTGCACCCCTAGTATCCACCCCTACCCACCTCAACGACATGGGGTTTTTTTGTTTGAAGAATGGGTTTTGGGATTCTACAACTCATACATTACAGGTAGGGTACAGTATTAGGCTAAACATAACCCCCATTAACCTGCATATTATTGGAAAGCATATAAACTTTATGTATTAGGTATTGAATTTAATAATATTTTGAAATAGATGTAAAGGATAATTGATAGTTTATATGTTCTTTTTACACCTTAATCAAATAATTGGAAATTTTGTTGTTTATTTATATTATTTTACTTATTTATTGCTTTTATGTAACAAGAAATAATAGGAAATTAGATGCGAGTTTTAAACCTAACCCACCTTACTCTAATTCCTATTTATCTCCTAAATTATCTCTAATTCCTATTTTCCTCCCATTTTTCATCTATGTCTACTTAAAGAAAGTTTGAATTAAAATTTGTAATAATTATTTAAAAATTATAACAAAGTTACGTAATAACTTTAAAATATTTATTCAAAACAAAAAATAATTATAATAGATTCAATAATGTTTAGATTATCAACAATATAAATTATAATTTTATGAATTAAAAATTATGTAATAACAATATAAATTATAATTTTATGGATTAAAAATTTTAGTAACAAAACCATTTAAATTTAATTTAAATAATAAAAATAAAATATTATTTAAATATTTCAATAACAAAATATTTAATATTATGTAATAACTAAATAGTATTTTAAAAAATTCAATAACAAAATTATTTAAGTTTCTTTTTAAATAATAAAACTTAAAAAATTAAAATAATTTTAAAATATTTCAATAACTAAATATTTTAAATAAAAACATTAAAATAGCTAAATAATTATATAACAAAATATTTAATATTATGTAATAGCATTCAAATAAATAAAATTTAAATAATGAAAATTTTAAATATTTTATTGTATTCATTTTGTAATTATTTTTTTTGTACTTTTATTATTTATTTATTATATTTTTGTTATAATTTTATTTTTAATAATTGTGTATTTTAGCTATAAATTATCAATAATTATTGGAGATTAAAGTATTGTTATTTATTAGAGATTTAACTATTAATTTAGTTGAAAATATGAATGTTCACGGGTCAATTTGGTTGTAGATTGTTTGGTGAACCAAATTGATTTGGTTGGGTTAGGGAGTTAGTCACTCGAAACCAACCAACCATTAGTGAAAACTGGCCAATTTGGGCCAGCTTTTGGCTTGGTTGGTTGGTTTAAAAGATTTAAACTTAAAAATATAAATATAAAAAATTACAACGGTACTATTGAAAATATAAATTTACAATATAAAATATTTTAGACTAAAAAATATGGGAATTTTCCACTTTCTTGTATTAGAAAAAAATTATATTTAAAATATAAAATATTAATATATATATATATATATCTATGGTCAGGTTAATTCGATTTTGGTTAGTTTACAAATGGCCAAACCAAAATTGATAAACAACCCTAACTAAAATTAATTATTATTGTTATTTTTATATTACAAAAATATTAAAATTACTATATAAGTATAAATAATTATTAGTGCTTAATCACCTAGGCATTGACTTGACAGCTATGGGGGCTAGAAGGGCTTAGGTTAGACCAAAAAGGATATGGGTCCAAGTAGTAAGAAATGATTTAAGTTCTCATAATTTCATAGATATGGCATTAAACAGAATGGAATGGCGGAACAAGATTCATATAGTGTGTAGCGGACCCCATATGGTTGGTTGTTTCTATTATTCACACGGGTTTCCATTAGTAGTATATACATATAATATAAGGTAAATTTTTTAAAATACCCTTATGGATTAGCTAATTAATTAAGTATACGCTTACCAAAAATTGACTGTTGCTATCACCAGCGTCCACTAAAAAACACAAAAATATTATTTTATCCTTTATTTTTCTTCAAATTTTCAAAATAAAATAGGTAAAAAAGTAAAGAAACTCTGGTTAATCAAAACCCTAACCTTTCAAACCCAACGATTTCTGTCTCGTCTCCGCCTCCGCCTCCATCTCCCTTTCCCTTCCCTACAAATCTCATTCATTCCTCCCATTCTATCTATCACTCTTTCTCAAACCATAAAGTGGGATATAAGTTCTCTCTGCACTTGCCGGAGCAACCGTTCAAAAGAAATCGATGGACAAGTCCGTCAGCTCTACACAGTCTGCTAAACCCGCTTGCTCTCTTTGGTCATTTAGCTGAGAGTTGATACGGGCCACGGATTTTGTCAAGAGCAACTGCAGGACATCTTTCCAACATTTCATGACTTCCCTATGGGCGGCATTTAATGGCTTCCCTGTACCAGCGGCAACACCGCTTTCCACCATTTCATTCCCACCTCTTGTTCTTCTTCTTCCACTGAAGTCGAAGATAACCCAGAAAGGTGAACCCACTAGAGTATCGATGAAATTGAAGACAGCCTAGTAAGGTAAACCCGCGAGAGCACCAACAGGCCACCGCCTGATCAACAATGGAGGACGAGTACCGGTACTACCATCTCCTTCTTCGTTGCTGTCCAGGTCCGATTACCCACCACTGTCATTAATTCTAACTTCCGAAGCTTATTATCCCTCTCCCATGTCTGCCAGAGCACCGACTGACCACCGCCTAAGCAACAATGGAGGATGCCGAGACTTTCTATCTGAAACGAAGCACTCTTTGGTTTTACAACAATGGAGGTAGAAACGGACGAGACGAGAGGAAGAGGGGAGTTAATCGCACAAAAAAAAATGAAAGCTTCTCTGTACAGACGAGACGAGAGGGAGAGAGGGAGTGGGGGAGCAGTTGAAGGAAAGTGATAGCAAGGCAGCCAGGCAGGGGAAACAATCGCCATGTGGGAGTTTTCAAACTCAAACAGCAGCGTCGGTGCCGTGCTGGCTTGAGAAATGGTAATGCTTCGCAGCCAGGCAGGGGAAACAGTCGCCATGCGGGAGTTTTCAAACTCAAACAGCAATGTCGGTGCCGTGCTGGTTTGAGAAATGGTAGGGTGCTTCGTTTTTCAGGTGACTGTGCACAGTCGAATAAGCACTCTCGTCTCGTCCATGGAGCAGTCGACTGACCCTTATTCACCTGATTTGAGCAGCCGTACGAATTCAGATGTGCACAGTCGCAGTCTTCGAACTCAAACAGCGGTGCCGGTGGCGGAGACTCCCCTTCTCCCCCTCGAGTTGATACTAGTGAGTGGCTCAACCTATGAGGGTACTTTAAGGCAGACTTGAAGGCTTACATGATGGGAATTTTGATTTGGCATTTTTTAACATAAAGGGTATTTTAGGATTTTTCAAAGTTACAGCAGTCACGTAATGGCACATTTGAAGATATTAGGATGGAAAATTAACGGCGAAGGAAGATTTAGACAATTATAAAAACGGTAGGGATAACGACAGTTAATTTTTAACTAAACCATAAGGGCAATTTAAGAAATTTATGTTATAATATATGTGTATCWTGCCGTGCCAATACGGCCCCTTTCTTTGTGCCATGTCGTGCTGGTCCGTGGGGGTTAAAACCCCAACTCGGTAGGCACAGGGTTCGGACCGGACCGGTGGATTGACAAAATAAAAACGAGGTAAATAATTCTAGAAAATTAGGAGAGAGAGGTGTGCGTGCTCGATCAGTTTTTGCTATCAGAAATGACTTGGGGGAAGAGGAATCGCAGCTTCACCTCATTATCCTCGTCATCATCTTCGTCGTCTGAAGTGGAGGAAGAAGAAGAAGATGAAGAAGAAGATAATGATGATGATGGTGATGGTGATGATCATTATCATGACGACGACGACGACGACGATTATGAAGAAGATACGGGGGGGACGTCTTCCAGGTATTAGTTTTTAATTTTCTCTAATTTAGTTGTTTTAAATGGAACGATGAATTTTGTGCATGATCACCCTTTACTGTGTTAATATGAGTATCTTCATGTGGAGGTCAGTGACGATGTCAGCGATTGGAATGAAGATGAGGAAGCGGATCGCGGCTCCGACGATGATGTTTCGGAGACGGTAAAACCTCTCGACGACGAAGCACGTTGCAACAGAGTCATCAATATTCTCAAAGGTTAGGTTCTTTTAGCTTTTTTGTTCTCTTGAATTCGAAATGCTACCAAGTTTTTCCAATAATCCGCCGAACTTCGCTCTTCTAGTCTTCTTAGAATGTTTGATTCTATAATTCGAATTTTGGATTATTTATATTCTTTTAACCCTCTTTCCCCTTTCGGAAAATTAAAGCAATAGTATATTCTTTCTTCGCGAATCTAATTCACTTGTTAAGTATCTGTTAAATGATATTACTGTTCTTAGAATTTGAAAGAAGGAATCGGCATACTGTAGTGGGAAGTTGGAGATGGTTTTTGGAACTTGGAAGACCGAAGAAGAAATGTCGTAATGTTCAGTGCTTTATTCTGTTGTGATTCTCACCAGAAGCACATGGTTGTTAGGTTTTTTCTGAGTCTTGCATTCAAAGGCATTATCATTGATTATACAATTTGCTTTGATTATATCTCATTTAAGGTATATTTTGACAAGTGGAAAGAGTTGGGTGGCAGATAAGGTAGCACAGATAGCAGACATTGCATAGAATCTTTTTTCCCCCTCTTTTCTAGTTCCCAGTGGGAAAGTAGGAACTGGTTGTTCAGTAGGTTAATGGGTAAATATCAGGTTTGGACCCAGAGCTTCAATATCAGCCCTCACAATTGTCACCAAACTAAAACAGTTAAGCAAATATAACAGCTAATATGTATGTATGTGTGTGCGTGTGTGTGTGTGTGTGTGTATATATGTATACATAATTGGCATTATAGTACCAAGAACTATGCAAAACATCCCTTGCCCTAGTGAGTGCCCTTTCCAAACTTGCATATGCTCTGAATGAGTGTGGTCAGACTTGGACCAGACTGGATGGTTGAACAGGTAACCCAGTGACCTTTCTCTGTCCTGGTTATTTGATGGTTTTTCCATTGTCAGAACAAGCCAACCAGCCAATTAACCAGTAAAACCATGACTCAGTGATCTTTCCAGTTTTCTGCTTGGTCCAAGTCTGACAACATTGCTCAGACCCTGTCAAAACTCATTTTGGATGCAGCTTTTCCGGCTAGTACCAAGAGAAGCATGACTAGAGTGTAAGCAGTACCTAAAACTTGAGGCCCAAGGTGCACCGTAAACAAAGTGAGGTCCCTGTCAAAACTCATTTTGGATGCAGCTTTTCCGGCTAGTACCAAGAGAAGCATGACTAGAGTGTAAGCAGTACCTAAAACTTGAGGCCCAAGGTGCACCGTAAACAAAGTGAGGTGTCACTTTTGAAAAATAAAAAAAAAGGAAAGAAAGAAACATAATGCACTAGGATTGCAAATCTAAATTCTGAAAGAACAAAATATTTCAGAATCCTATTAGCTCAATTGGTTAGAGTATCATGTTATTAATGTGAAATTTATAATTTTGTATGTTCAAGTCCTACATAGACTATTTAAACTCTGAGCGTCATAGCTACACTCTACAATATAGTATTTTATGTATTCAACATCAAATACAAGGTCAATTCATCAAATTATAGCAACAAAATAGGCAAGGCATACCCAGAAAAATGAGCATCACCTGTGAGTGTGAGGATACAAAGGCAGCCCAGTGCACGAGGCTCCCACCGATGTTGGATCTGGGGAGGGATAGATGTACACAACCTTACCCCTGCACATCCAGAGAGGCTGTTTCCAAGATTTGGTCCCTGGCCACCAGGTTGCAAGGTGTATCCTTGCCTGTGAGGATACACCTTTTTAAAAACACTGGCTGAACTTATCTTTTTAAAATAATTAATTAATGATGTTACCTAAAAAAATATTAATCATTATCATTTAGAATGAAAATTGATTTTTTTTTTAATTTCCATGAACTTTTATTCATCTCTTCTTTATGATTTGTTGACTTGGCCACATTTTCTTTGTTGGCTACCATACTAAGATTCTGTCTTCTTTACTCTCTAAGATTTGATCCCCAGAATTTGACTTTTTTCTATTCTTTATTTCAAATATTGTAATGCAACAGTGAGATTTGATAATATGCCTAATGTTCTGTAGGAGGGGATGATCTACATGCACTAAAATTAGAAGAATGCAAAGCATATTTGCGGAAGCATGGCCTTAGGTTAACAGGGACCAAAGCAGTTTGTGTACAAAGAATTCGTGAACATTGGAGGTAGTTGTTTTATGCAGAAAAATATGCTTTCAACATGTATATTCATATTTTCTAGGACTGTGATCAGAAACTGTGCATCATTGCTGCTTTAGGATGAATGACCTCTTTTTCATTTTTTATTTTCCCTCTTTGATTTCTCTTTGTTTCTATAATTCTTCCATTGAAAGTTGATAGTTTCTCATAACAACATTTTCATAAGAGGATTACTTGGGTCAGGATGGGGGAATATCTTGGGCAGAAATTTTGCTTAATTGTATAACTGTACTTTTGTGATTTTTCATATTTTTTTTGGATATTTAGAAAAGCTTTTAGAGAGCTCTTGGTTGGTAATGTTCATCAGCTCAGGCCTGTATTTGACGTAAAAGAGAATGCAAGAAGGCTACAGAGTCTAGTCTACCTGACTGAACAGGAAGGAGATGAGAGCAGAAAACACTACTTAAATGTCTAGCTGACAAGATAGTAGGAACTGGTACAAAGAGGAACAAGGTCTCTATTTACAACAGCATAAAGAGGAACACGGTCTCTATTCACAAAGTTTAGGAAGAAAGATTAAAGATCCATGGTGCAGTAGTCTGCCTGCCAATGGTGTATACACCATATGGTTCAAAAACTGAAACTCATTGCCAACTATCAACTCATAGAAGAAAGAAGTATTTTGCTTGGTGGATCCACCACATATCTCATACCCATGCACATGTTGTATTTTTTTTATCAATAACAAAACTTAAATTTATCAAAAAGAATAACTAATTACAAAGAAGGGGAGATAATCTATCTTAACTCCCCCAACAGAGGCTACATTCCCCAAAAAGAAAAGAACCAGAATTACAACTGAGCCCAGAATATAGATTCCCTAATCACCCCTTGCTTGGCTAACCCATCAGCAAATGAGTTAGCAGATCTCTTCACTCAGCTGTACTTTATTTCCATATCCTTAGCCAGCCACTTGAAGTTTTTCTTTTCATTGCTGTAGCTCCATAACCCAGCCTTGTCTTCTTTCAACCACCCTACTACCACCACCGAATCTCCTTCAATTACAAGCCTCCTAATGTTCATTTCCTTTACCCTTTGGACACCTTCCAAGACTGCAAAGATCTCAGCCCTGAGCGAGTCACCTACCCCAATTGGGCCTGAGAACATGGCTGAGACAGTCCCATTCTCATCCCTGAACACTCCCCCAATGCCAGATTGTCCAGGGTTCCCTCTTACTACTGCCATCAAAGTTCCACTTTATAAAACCAGTGGGGAGAGGGATCCAAGACAAACTTAGACCCTTTTTGACCTGGGAAAAGCTAGCAATCTCTTTCCACTTTCTCAGCAGATCATCCACAATAAAGTCTGAATAAACCCAAAGATTTTAACCACTATACCACCCTTATGTGGATCAGTTCTTTTACATTTTCAATGCTCCTCTCTTTTTCTGAGAAGATTCTTGAGTTCCTTTCTTCCCACATTGACTAGCACACAACAGCCCTTAGGCATCTCCACATAATCCTACCCTTTGTGTGTGTGGGGGGGGGGAGGGTCCACCTACACCCAAAAGGGAAAATGCCCATTCCCAAATAGTTTTAGCAAGATGGCAAGAAACTAATAGGTGATAACTAGTCTCCCCATTAGCTTTGCAAAGAGTATATCTATGAGAGGATAAATAGGTCTTGGGTCTCTGTCTTTGAAGCAGATCACTACTGTTGATTCTTTCTAGGAAAGTTTCCCAACAAAAATCCCAACCCTAGGAGGAATTGGCTTACATCAAATCTCTTTAACAAGGAAAGATAAACCTATGAGGCCGGTTGGTCGAGTTAAGATTTTAAAGAAAGAGACACAAGAGAATGAGCTCGAGGGGGAGGGGTCCAAATTCTAGTGTCTTTCTTTATGGGGTCCAAGAACACATTTTCAAGAATACCTAGGAGAGTCAAGGTGCTGTCCAAATCTGAATCTCTAACAGCCCTTCTCAAACCCAACCCCAAAGCTTGAAGATGAAGGGACAATAAAAGAGATGAGCTCATTTTTCAGGTCAAAGAGAGCATACAAGGATGGAAATTGGTCCTTCAACGGGGAATCCTCCGCCCAAGTTTGTTCGCAGAATTTTACGAGGTAACCTGAGTTTAAGTCATACCTGATCAAAGGGGAGAAAGCTAGTAACAAGTCATGGATGGCTTTCCAAGGTGAAGCACTTGTAGTTCTTGTTAGAATTCCAAGATCCCATCCGTTGTCCTCAAGCCCGTGAATGCTAGCCACTATTTTAGCCCACAACTTCTCCTTCACTAAAGAGAACCTCCAACCCTCCTAACTTCTTACTTCTAATCACCACCTCCCAACCCACTCGATGGTCTCTCTTCTCCTCTCTTGGCTCCCACAACAAGTCTTTCATCAGTTTTTCCAATCTATTAGACACCTTTGTTGGAATCTTGAACACTGACAAGAAATAGATGGGTAAATTGGATAAGGTAGCCCTAATTAGTGTGACCCTCCCCCCAAGAGAAAAATAGTTCTTCTTCTAAGAGGCAAATCTCCTCACAAATCTTTCCACCATCTGATTCCAAAAACTTCCTTTTTTCGGGGTTATCTCCCAGGGGTAATCCTAGATAATTCAGGGGCCAACTTGAATCTACACATCCTAATAACTCTAGACATTCCTTAACCTCCCTTTCCTCCATATTCACTCCCACTATACAACTTTTTTCAAAATTCACCTTAAGGTTGGACATCTGTTCAAAGAGTTGTATCACCATTTTCAAGTTTCTGATCCATCTCAAGTTACCTCCTTCACAGAAAAGTATTGTCACCTGCAAATTGTAATTGGATAAGTGGAATCTCCTCCTTTCCTAATCCCCACCCTTTTAATAAATCCCTCGAATATGCTCTGTGAATCAACCTTCCTAGTACATCTGCAATCAAGGTAAACAAGAAAGGAGAGATTGGATCTCCTTGTCTTATTCCCCTTGTTGGGAAAAAATCTACCACTGTCCCATTTACCAACACAGAGTAATGACAACTCCTGACACATCCCATGATCCATTTACACCATCTTTCCCAAAACCCAAAGTTAACCTTCACTTCCTTTAGAAAGAACCAATTAACCAAGTCATAAGCCTTTTCTAAATCCAGTTTGCACACTACTCCCTTCTTCTTGACCTTTTTGAAATTCTCTATACTCTCATTTGCAATTAATATTTGATCAGCTATCTATCTCCCTTTCACAAAAGCTCCTTGGTTTGGTGCAGTAATAGTGGGTGGGACTTCCTTTATCCTTAGAGACAACACCTTTGCAATTATCTTGTACAAACTGTTTACCAAGCTGATTGGTCTGAAGTCTTTTGGATGAGAGGCATCTTTCTTCCTTGGGACCAAAGTAATAAAGGTGGAGTTCAACCTAGGATTAATTACTCCCCTCTTATGAAATTCATCAAACACCAGTATTAGATCCCTCTCCAAGATTTCTCGGCAACCTTAGTAAAAAACCATTGTGAATCCATCCAGGCCTGGAGCTTTTGTTATGTCCATGGAAAACACAACCTCCTTTATTTCCTCCAATTCGAACTTCCTTTCCATCCTTTGTCTGTTTTCTGCCCCTAGATTTGGCTAGTTCAACCCTTCTAACCACACCCTCCCACTTAAAGGCCTTCTAAATATGGACTTAAAGTGATCTATAATGGCCCTTGCTATCTCATCCGGGTGGGGTAAAATTGACCCCTCAACTTCCAATCTTGAAATAGAATTCTTTCTTCTCCTTCCATTTTCCATAGTATGAAAGAAGCTAGTGTTTCTATCTCTCTCATGCAACCATTTGCATCAAGATTTTTGCCTCCAACTGACTTCCTCCTTGTGCAAGCAATCCTCCAATTGCCTTCTCAATCTCCCTCTTTGATCCTTGGCTCCCTCTTCAAAATCTCCCCTTTCCTCTTTCAAGTCCAATTCCTCAATATGATCCATCAATATTCGCTCTCTTTCTTCTAGTCTACCAAACTCCAATAGGTTCCACTCCCTAATCTTTACTTCCAAAAATTGGAGCTTTTTGTGAAATCTCATGCCTTCCCATTCCATTGAAGGATTACACTAGTTCCACCATTCTTTGACTTTCTTAGTAAACCTCGGGTGGAGTAGCCACATTTTTCAAATCTAAATGGAGAAGGTCCAATGCTCCTCCGTTCTTCCCTACAAATCACTATGGGCTAATGATCTGAAGTGAGCCTAGGAAGCGCCCTGGAAGTTAAACTCCCCTAGTGTTCTTTCCAATCTGTTGAGAATAGGAAGCTATCCAATTTGGAACAGAATGGATTTGATCAGAGATTGGACCAATTGAAGGTCTTGTGAGCTAATGGGATCTCTTTAAGCTCAAAAGCATCCACAAAGAAGTTGAATTTCCTCATATTTGTTGTCACTCTCTGATTAGGGTTGTTAGTTTCCCGTGAACCTAACCACATTAAAATCCCCACCCACACACCAAGGCCTTCCCATAATCCCCTAACATCACCCAGTTTCTCCCACATTTCCTTTCATTCCCTATAGTCATTTGGTCCATATACATTCATTAACACCCATTCAAATCCACTCTCTGCTTGCTTGAATTTCATAGATACAGAGTACTTGCCAATTAATTCCTTCATCCCCACAAGCACATCCCTCTTCCACAGTGTCACAATCTCTCTTGAGGATCCCCAAGATGGAGCAGCCACCCAATTGATCCCTCAAGCTCTCCATACACTTTTTGCCCATCTGCTATCAAAATCCATTCTTTTGGACTCCTGAATTCACACTACATCTGGGTTATACCTCTTAATCACCTCTTTTTTCGTTGCTCTTGAAAACCTGCGCAAGAATATTGCAATATACCTAGCCATCAATCTCCCCTTTCCTCTTTCAAGGCACCGATTTTCAAGGGCAAGAATATTGCAATATACCCGGCCCTTTTGTTTCAGGTACCTAGGAAAGAGGATTCATGTAGCTGACCTATAGTTGGGATAAGGTTTGGATGATGGTGATGATGATGACCCAACCAT